TTTTTGATAAAAAAAAAAAAACGGCAATAACATTTTTAAAACTGGGAATATTATTTTTCATCAAATAAAACTTTCACGACAGGCAATGTGATTTTAGAATCAAAGAATACGGTTTATGAAAATGATAACATTTTTGAAACAGGTAATAATAATTTCGAAATGTGTAAGAACATTTTAAGAAAATCTTAAGCGTGCTACTAATTTGGCATTTCGGTTCCACCCTTTTACTGTCGAAACAGTTGAATGTTCCGCCTCTTCTACTCCAACAGCTTCTTCTCTTGCACTTCCCGACAGTAGAATTCCCTTCCTCTTACTTTCTTCCCTGATAACTATAATCAACAAAAATTTAAATGTAATGTCAATCGACATCTTCTGTTGTCTTGAGGCCCGTCCATCTTCTTATCCTCCTGCGTTCTTCTTTTTTTTCCTTTCCTCAACAGCCCCCCCCACACCTATACCCAGTCTTTTCCCTTACTTACACTGTCTGTAGCTCCTTACGTACTAGTGGTACTCCTACCTTACTTGGGGTGAATTGCTTAATATATATATATATATATATATATATATATATATAACACTAATAAACTTATAAATGTAAGCAGCTATACTCGCCCGGCAAAACGTTAGGTGTTTTAGCTTGTAAATGAACAGACCAATACAATAAAAACATGTATTTCCGGCGAAAATAATCGTCGAGAATCCAAGCTCAGAGTCCAAAGAAAAAAAAACTCCAAAACGAGTAAAGTAAAAATAACTAAACAAAGTGCTCAATACGCTAAGTAGAGCGAAATAAATAAATAAATAAACCTAAAGAGCCAAGAAGGTTGTTAAAACATCTCGGGATAGTTAATGGCTGGGTAGATACAATACACTGATTCCAGGTAGAAATTCTCACAATCATATAAATAATAATAATAATATCAATAAATGTGTTTGTTTTTTTATTGACACGGCAATACCTGTTGACTGTGCTGTATCTTTGAAGATCATTTAAAATAAGATTGTCAAAGGAGAAGGATGTTGAAATCGAAACCTCAAAAATGTAGCACATTAAGACATCAATTCCAGTTGGAGCACTCGGATTAAGTGGAAATGATTCCAATAGACTGATGGAAAGGCTTTCTCGTAGCCTATGCCTTAAATAATACAAAAAATACAAAAAAATTATACTCACAAGTACATCTCACACATCACGTAAAGCATTATCTATCTTTTATCTACGTAAAATGTGTGGGATTTTAGGCTTGTTTTTTGTTTTCTTTTTTACAATGGGACACGGAAGGAAAGGCATATACAACAGAAACCCAAGGAATTATAATAAAAATTATTATTTTTATTTTCTTTGATTTCTGGCGTTTACACATTTCTTTCCGGGTCCCGCCCAGTGACCTAAGGTTAGAAATGGCGTCATGACACTTTCCACTGACAAAAAAAAAAAAAAAAAAATTAAATTACATAGATAAAGCCCTTCGTAAGGTGTGGGCTGTACTTGTCAGAGCAATTTTTTGTATCTCCTTGAGGCATGGACTTCCAGGAATCCCTTCAATTAGTCTACTGGAATCTTTTCCAACCAGTCCTGGGGCTCCAACTACAACAGGGATTGTTGATGTTCCCATGTGCCACATTTTCGAGATTTCTATTTCAAGGTCCTTGTAATTTGACAACTTTTTGAATATCTTCAAAGATACATTGCAGTCAGCAGGGACTGCCATATCAATAAGGAGGCACCGTTTTTGTTTGTGGTCTTTAATAACAATATCTGGGCGGTTGGCTTTGATTGTTCTGTCAGTGTATTATTATTATTATTATTATTATTGTTATTGTATTAGACCAAAATGCAGGTTCTTGAAACAATTGACAATCTTGCATCCGGTTGCGTGGTGATGGCACCCACAGAATATAAAACACGGCACAACAGAGTGGGCCAATATCTGCAGTGGAAAATCTGCAACACTTACGGAAAGGAAATTGCAAGAAATTCGTTTAAACGCCACCCAGACCTGGTTACTGAGATAGAACCATTAACAATTTTATGGGACTTTACAATCCTCACATACAGAAGAATCAAAGCTAATCGCCCTGATATCTTGATTAGAGACCGCAAAGATAAAATGCACCTCCTTATTGACATTGCAGTCCCTGAAGATTGTAATGTATCTTTAAAGATCTTCAAAATACTAACCAAATTCAGAGACCTTCAAATCAAAATCTCAAAACTGTGGCACATGAAGACATTAACAATTCCACTTGTAGTTGGAGCCCTCGGGTTGATTGGAAAATATTCCAATAGACTCAATGAAGGAATCCCTAGAAGCCAATGCCTTAATCAAATACAAAAAATGGTACTCACAAGTACAGTCCACACCTTAAGAAGGGCTTTATCTATGCAAAATATGTTCGATTATTTTTTCAAAACTGCTCACTGGAAAATTACATGATTACATTTCTGACCTTTCAGGCTTTTCAGCTTGTCTTGCTAGAACAATTACGACTGAGTAGTGAGTTCGATCCTCACTGGGTGCCCCATTCGTTCGTCCTTACATGATTACATTTCTGACCTTAGGTCGGGACCCGGAAAGTAATGAGTATACACCAGAAGCCAAAGGAACCGTTGTAGCTGTAAAATACTTAAAAAAAGAAAATGCAATCGACCAGATACAGAAACAATGGCAGGATAAACCGCTTCATGGCCAATACTCTGACCGTACCAAACAAGCTGACATAAGCAAAACCCGTACCCATCAGTTTGTTAATCTTTTTCAGGCTTTTCAGCTTGTCTCGCTAGAACAATTACGACTGAGTAGTGAGTTCGATCCTCACTGGGTGCCTCATACTTCCGGCCTTGGGCGACATCCAAGCTACGCTTGGAAAATCGCTTTGGGCACCTTGGAGCGGTGCTATGGTTAGCAATCATGTCTCGCTAGATCAATTACGAATGAGTAGTGAGTTCGATCCTCACTGGGTGCTCCAAACTTTCGGCTTCTTGCCACATGTCAGCCGCGCTGAGAAAATCACTCTGCAACTGAGTCGGTTCTTGGCTAGCTAGCTATCTGCATATCTGTCTGTCTATTCACGCTTTTAAATTGGACGCTTGCCATTTAGAAACAATTATCAAGCTATCCTAGCAAAGTTTCGTTACTACGGTGAATAGAGTTGTTTCATTATACCAGACTTTCATATTTGCCTATCTGCCTGTTTGAACTTACTCGAATCAATCTGAAATTGCTTGCCATTATTTTAATCAACAGCCAAATATAGCCACAAAATGCGTTTAAAAAATCACGTTTTAAAAATAGAATATGTACCGAATGTCTATATTGGTCATTCATTCGCATTTACTTGCAAGATTTTAATGATTGCTTCTGTCATCATTCAACTAGAAAGATTTTTTTTTTACGAGACACTGCAACTATTCAGCTTGTGGAGAAGACCTGCATGACAAACCCTATGGAAAGATTTCGAGTTGTTCAAAGTTAGAGCCTGGCCTTCACCATTCTTATCTAGAGCTTGGTATGCTATCTCCGCAGTTCTCCTCAGTGCATCAGCAGTTGACATGGCGGAAATATCCAATACACGGGTAAATTGTAGATTTACTCAATTTACAGTGCATCCCAAACATTATAAGATTCTAGATTCCGGGTCACCTTGACGCAATGGGTTAGCAAGCTTATCTCGCTAGAAAAATTACGACTCAGTGCCCCCATACTTTCGGCCTTTTGCCACATCTATGCCATACTTATCGTTTGGACCCTCCGACATGGTGTAATGATTAGCAAGCTTCTCTCGCTAGAACAATTACGACTGAAATCCTCACTTGGTGCTCCATAATTTAGGTCTTGTACCACATCTAATCTTCACTTAGAAAATCATTTGGGCACTCCGAGATGGCGTAATGATTAGCAAGCTTCTCTCGCTAGAAAAATTACGACTGAAATCCTCACTTGGTGCTCCATAATTTAGGCCTTGTGCCACATCTATTCTTCAGTTAGAAAATCATTTGGACACTCCAAGATGGTGTAATGATTAGCAAGCTTCTCTTGCTAGAACAATTACGACTGAAATCCTCACTTGGTGCTCCATAATTTGGGCCTTGTGCCACATCTAATCTTCGCTTACAAAATCATTTGGGCACTTCGACGTGCTGTAATGGTTAGCAAACTTTCTCGCTAGAACAATTACGACTGAAATCCTTACTTTGTGCTCCATAATTTAGGCCTTGTGCCACATCTATGCCACGCTTAGAAAATCATTTGGACACTCCGAAATGGTGTAATGGTTACCAAGCTTCTCTTGCTAGAACAATTACAACTAAGTAGTAAGTTCGATTTTCACTGAGCGCCTCCTAATTTCGGCCTTGTGCCACATCTAAGCTACCCCTGGAAAATCACTATAATATTCTAGCTTAATCACACCCAAAGAACTCACAAAATAAGGGGTAAATAACCATGGTCTTGCTGCAGTCTTCGGTAGGTTTGAAAACAGCTTCATAATGAGTTAATGTGATGTCACAAGCCTTTTTGAAACTCCATAAAAGTTTCATGGGATGGAATTTTTCCCAAACAAGTCCCTGTTCGGAAGCCGGTGTATGGAAGGACACACTTGTGGTCATCGCTTACAGATGATTTGATTGCAAACAACGTCACCTGCATGCTGGTATTGTCATCGGAAATATTTTGCCCAATGCAACTGCGAAACCAAAATACAATTTGATGTGTAGATGCCTGCGTGAGGCTGCTCGTTCAACAAAAAGCATTTTTAAATCGTCAGAAAGAATTAGTAATGTAAGAACGCGCGAACCTAACGGCTGATATTGTGTGGGAGAGAGACAGAGAGACAGAGAGAGAGAAAGGCGACACAGGTAGATAGTGTTAATCCACAAATCCCTTACCGCTGCCAATTACATCAACATGGATGGTTTGAAATGTACTGCCACTGCACAACTCAGAGAACATTGCACTTAGTTCATTGTTAACGCAAGCATTTTCCTGATCATAGATTGCATGCTTCAAAAGATCCATCTATGCCGAGCAGATTACACTTCGTCTATCTATCTATCTATCTATCTATCTATCTATCTATCTATCTATCTATCTATCTATCTATCTATCTCAGTCTCTTCCTATCTATCTATCTATCTATCTATCTATCTATCTATCTATCTATCTCAGTCTCTTCCTATCTATCTATATATCTATCTATGTCCTTCTGTTTACATGCGTCTACCTATTTATCGATACCAGTCTATTAATATCTATCTATCTATCTATCTATCTATCTATCTATCTATATATATATATATCTATCTATTTTCTGTTTCTATCTATCTATCTATCTATCTATCTATCTCAGTCTGTTCCTATCTATCTATCTATCTATCTATCTATCTATCTATCTATCTATGTCCTTCTGTTTACATGCGTCTACCTATTTATCGATACCAGTCTATTAATATCTATCTATCTATTTATCTATATATCTATTTTCTGTTTCTTTCTATCTATCTATCTATCTATCTATCTATCTATCTATCTATCTGCCTCTCTGTCTGTCTATCTGTCTGTCTGTCTATCTATCTATCTATCTATCTATATCCATCTGTTTATGTGCGTCTACCTATGGCAAATTGAAAAGGTGTTCTTTCCACCAAAACATCGCAAGTCTTCATGTTAAACAAAAGCCTTTACGGAAGCTTAAAAAGTTAAAATGTGATACCCTCCAGTACCAACCGTATATTCTGCACTTGGATATTTCGGCTTTTTATTCCTTTCTGGCTCTACAAAACAATTTAAATGCCAACATATTTGAATCTTTACAGTCCGTCGAAAAACACCGAACACACGTCTTTCAAAAAAAAAAAAACACGAATTTCTATTCTAATTTCATCAACTTTGTAGAACGATGGAAAAGAGTTGTAAAGACAGTAGAAACTATATACTTGAAGATTTGCCTAATAAATAATTATGGTAAGTATGTAAAATTCTGTTTTTAATTTTCTAATCGAGCATGGCCTTCTACAGTGATTTATCTATCTATCTATCTATCTATCTATCTATGTCCGTTCTCTATCTATCTATCTATCTATCTATGTCCGTTCTCTATCTATCTATCTATGTTGATCTGTTCATCATTCTCAGTTTGTTAATCTTTTTCAGGCTTTTCAGCTTGTCTCGCTAGAACAATTACGACTGAATAGTGAGTTCGATCCTCACTGGGTGCCCCATTCGTTCGTCCTTACATGATTACATTTCTGACCTTAGGTCGGGTCCCGGAAAGTAATGAGTATACACCAGAAGCCAAAGGAACCGTTGTAGCTGTAAAATACTTAAAAAAAGAAAATGCAATCGACCAGATACAGAAACAATGGCAGGATAAACCGCTTCATGGCCAATACTCTGACCGTACCAAACAAGCTGACATAAGCAAAACCCGTACCCATCAGTTTGTTAATCTTTTTCAGGCTTTTCAGCTTGTCTCGCTAGAACAATTACGACTGAGTAGTGAGTTCGATCCTCACTGGGTGCCTCATACTTCCGGCCTTGGGCGACATCCAAGCTACGCTTGGAAAATCGCTTTGGGCACCTTGGAGCGGTGCTGTGGTTAGCAATCATGTCTCGCTAGATCAATTACGAATGAGTAGTGAGTTCGATCCTCACTGGGTGCTCCAAACTTTCGGCTTCTTGCCACATGTCAGCCGCGCTGAGAAAATCACTCTGCAACTGAGTCGGTTCTTGGCTAGCTAGCTATCTGCATATCTGTCTGTCTATTCACGCTTTTAAATTGGACGCTTGCCATTTAGAAACAATTATCAAGCTACCCTAGCAAAGTTTCGTTGCTACGGTGAATAGAGTTGTTTCATTATATCAGACTTTCATATTTGTCTATCCGCCTGTTTGAACTCACTCGAATCAATCTGAAATTGCTTGCCATTATTTTAATCAACAGCCAAATATAGCCACAAACTGCGTTTAATAATCACGTTTTAAAAATAGAATATGTACCGAATGTCTATATTAGCCATTCATTCGCGTTTACTTGCAAGATTTTAATGATTGCTTCTGTCATCATTCAACTAGAAAGATTTTTATGTACACTGGAATATGAGAAAGCAATTTGAAAACTGCAAAACATTAAAGTTCAATAAGGTATTCTTAAGTAATTAAAAACAATTAATTTCATCTAAGTCAAGCATTTAGGAAATCAAGTCCTCGCAAGCAATTTCTGACTGCCTCAAGGTGAAATTTTAATGCCACCATGTTGGCGAGATAATCGTACTTCTGATTAAGTTGGTATAAAGTTATTTGGGCGGTAAACAATGGAAATAAAATTTGCAAGTAAAATAAAATAAAAATATAGAAAAACTGAACGCAATATAATCGTTTCTGAATTCTAATTAACATTTAATTAGTGGCTTGGAAGAAACATTTCCTGGACTAATAATTGTGAGGCTTTTAGCCGCAGATCTGAAAAAAATCAAACAAAAAATTCAAAGAAAACAAATTAAAGAACGCTATACACTAGCTGAAAATGAATTACAGTTTTGCTGTAAATACGAAGCTAAAAAATGTCCAAATTATTAATTATGATTTATTATTTTAGAATATTAAATTTAATTTTACTATGAAAATATTTTCTGAATATTTTAGAGGAGCCCTTGTTAATAACTATTATTTTCATGTATATTTAAATTATTTTACTTGCTTCTTTAACCGAAGCCTTAATAGGATTTTAAATGCTGATTTTTAACGAAATAGGGATCTCCTCACATAGAAAATTGACGGAGCACGCTCTCCTTTACACCAGATTCTCTTCTGGGTGTTAGGCTTGAGTCTATAGCCTTGTTTGGTAATCAGCCCAGAAGATGGCCAACTTTTAAATCAAAACTTGTCGGGGGATTGGTCTGGAAACTCCGTAAAAAACTACTTGCTACGACAACCACAGCAACATTACCGCCTTAGAAAATTGACGCAACAATATCTTCCTTGAACTATATACTTTTCTGGATGTGCGCGTAGATTAGCGGTTATCGGCGCTCAAAGTGAAATTGCCATTGAGCTCGTTGTGTTACCTTCCTCGTAAATAAAGTTTGGAAAAAAATGTGGATTAAATCGCAGGGTAAACTAGGCACTCTAACCTTGTTTGGTAACGAAGTAAGAAAAAAATGACAATTTTGAAATAAAACGTGTGGTGGCTGCCGTTGGGAACATCCACCCCGTAAAAAGTTACTTGTTACAGCAGTTATAACTCACAAACACATCTACTATTGTCGAACTCTGGTCTTACAATTCACGGCCAGTCTAATGTCCCTGAAATTCAAAAGAGCCGGTAATAGCTTAAATATCTTAAGTTGGCCCTTCACACTGGATTATTTTACGACACTTTCTTCCATTATATATCTATTGCTTTGAAACTAAATGATAAAGATTTACAGATTTTATTAAATGATTCCTTTCAATTATTACTAAATTTTGCTCATATTTCTTTCAACTTCTGACACTTGAAATCCTTATTATTCAGTCGAGCTATCTTGGAGATTCCCGAGTCTCTCCCGTTAACTATCACGATCCTGCATGTAGGTCGGAAAGTCATTAGAGTGACATTCTGTGTTCCAACGCAGTTGGTCAATATACTTTATTCTTGGGCAACCAAAACGTCTCCAGAGAAGTAGATCACTCACACGTTCTTGCTTTGTTTTCTAGCAGTGCCCTTGCCCTGCAAAGCTCATTCTGCATTCGATTGTAGAAATATCAGGGATGGATTCATAGAGTTAGTGACTTAGTTGGATATTGTCTCCAAGAGATGTTAAGTATAGCTCTCAGTATCCGAATGTAGGTTCCATCAAGCTCAGACTCCTAGACTCCGTTTGAGAGATGTCTGCTAGATCAGATTTCCATTTACATCTATTTTATTGAAGGCAACACAGGCTTTAGATATGTCAACAACAAGATGAGGAAAATTATTTTTGTTTGGTCGACTTTGTTCGCCAAAGATCGGCGTCGGAAGATCATTCGGGTGGCATTCTGTGTCATAGCAAAGCTAGGCGACCAACTCATCTTGCTCCATGGCTAGGTACCCAAATCAGTAGATCACTGACGAGTCCTTGTTTTGCTTGCCAGCAGCGTCCTGCAAAGCGCATTCTACGTTAGCGTAAGATTATAGATATATTACGGATGGTTCTATACATCTGGTATTTACTTGGATGTTGTCTCCAAGGGATGTTAAGTATAGCCCTCGGCATCCGTGTGTATGTTTCATCATGCTTAGGGTTTTAGTTAATGTCCAGATAGTGGTACCATACATTAACACCGCCTCTACAGTGGCTCGTGTAGAGGGGTCCACCCATTTTTATACAAATGGACTCACCCAGTGTATACACACTACTGCCAGTGAATACCCGGAGAGCACGACCGAAGTGTCGAGTCGAGTCCAGAGTGACAGAGTAAAAGCTTGCAGGTAACCGGAAAAGTGAGGGTGAGGTAGTGATTTTCTAAGCACAGCTTAGATGTGGCACAAGGCCGAAAGTATGGGGCACCCAGTGAGGATCGAACTTACTACTCAGTCGTAATTGTTCCAGCGAGACAAGCTTGCTAACCATTACACCACGCCGAAGTGCCTAAAGCGAGGGTGAGGTAACAGCGTTGTAGGAGTCACCGTGAGCGAGCACGTAGACTCAGTAAGAAGTCAGACAGCGATACTTCAATACCAAAGACTGTATATATATTTTGCTACTAACCCGTATTCCTGGAACTACTAAACTGCTTTACCAGTTTGTATTATTGTGTTAATACATTATTTCCATATATTCATTCTTGGCGTTTGTTATTTATTGGTACCGGATTTCAACCCGGAATCCAAAACACAAAGAAAGGCGGTTTTATTCAAGTCGGTGTAATCAGAGATTTTAAAGCCTTTTCCGCAGAATCTATTTCGCTTCTTTTGTAGTGTGAATTTCTTGCATGAGAGTTATCACATTACGATTATGTTATCCTCTAATTTCTCTGTCTTTTAAATGTAGTAATGTCCTTAAGTCATCTGAATTTTAGATGTGTTGTGGACCGTGGCTGTAATGTTGTTGAGTAGAAGTAGAAGAAACACATATGGGTTAAAATTTTCCTGCTAGCCGGCCCAACTACATGAGAAGGTTAGACTTTTGATTAAGTCCAAAGAAGGCAAAGAAAAACAAACACAAGATAATATATGTATACAAATATATATATTAATAACAAGTTACATGGAAACAGTTACAAAAGACAAAGTGGGTGTGTGAATATTATATATATGCGTGTGTGTGTGTATTGTGCTTAGCGTGTTCCCAGCATTTAGGAAACGCTATCTCTGTGAGCGTTCACATCTGCGAGGTGGTAAGGCTGAAAGCCTGAGGAAAAATGAGAGATTTACCTCCAGGTGTCGGCCCAAAGGCCTAAGGAAAAAAGAGGAAGAGGCGAAGGGTCAGCGACTATTTATAGCCAGGGAAGAGAGACCCCTGGTGAAAGGGTTAACGAACTAAAGGAGAAGTTAACTCCGACAGATGTCTCTTTGATAATTAGTGCAGGCGTCGATTTCCGAACATTGGTATTGTCCTCAATTTAAAAGTTGGGGTTTGAGATGATAAATAATGACACATATTTTTTTTTTCTAAATCGTTACTGTTTTTTTTTTAAGAAATGACTTTAAGGATTAAGTTTAGGATTAAAATTATAGCGTTGGAATTTAATTCCGGTGATAAGTGAAAGTCTTCTAGTACAACCTTATAAATTTTTTAATTTAATGAAGCTTTACAAATCGTATATGGACAAGAAAAAGGATCACGCACATTATTACTAAATCATTGTGCCATCAAATAAAACCCTCATTTACTTCAAAGAAAAATTATCCTGAACAATTTGGCTATATTATGATTTAATGCGGTAGTTTAGTGTGATTTTCAATAAACAATGCAAATTTAAAACATTTTGTCTTATAATTTGTGCCCAGCAGTATTATGGTGTTATATACACTTTTATCTATAGTTTGTTTTTATTAATTATGATCTAACAAATGATCTAACAAATCTTATCTATTGAGCAGCCATTTTTGTAATCTTTTACAATTTTTTACACAAGTTTTACTTATCGAATGCAGTAAAAAAACCTGGTAATGGTAATT